ACGCAGGCTATTAAATACTGAACATGCGGGAAAACATGCAGACACTGGAGAGGAGCTAAAAACATGAGCCACACCTACACGGGACACCTGAGGGAAGGTGTGGAGACGAACGACAAGAGAGGAGAGAGGATCTGTATTAGTGTTCGACCAGAAGCAGATAAGAGCTACTAACAAAGAGCTTAACAATGATCGAGACATGGAGACATCGAGACATCTAGACATCACACCATGGATAATAAACAACCTTTCTGGAAATTATATAAGAATTGTTTTGATTGAATTGTTTTAAAAGAACACTTTAAAATCCCCAAAACAACTGAATAAACCTATTCTTTAAAATAAGCAGCTTCTCTTCTGTGAAATGCTGTCTGTCTGGTTCAGGTTCACAGTGCTGTGTAAGGCTCTCTTTGATGTAATTTTGAGAAAGCTTTGTTTAAGTACAGAGCAGCAGCACTCAAGAAGAATGAGCTCATTAGCTTCACTATTGCTAACATAATCATTTCGTTAATACTAACTTAATAACTCTACTAATGCTGACTTAATAAATTCACGAAAGCTGAGATGTGGATATGTGCTGTATATGGTTCTATATGGCACCAAACATTTTTCTTCTAGTCTTCCAATGTTACGCTTGTATAGATTATATGAACCATTATTGGTGCTATAAAGAAACATTTTCAAAAAAGGTTCTATACAGAACCATATACCACACATTCTCCATCACTCCAGAAAACCATTTCACCATGCAGAGAACCGTTTAAACAAGCAGATTGTTCTTTGAGTGTTCATGGTTCGACATAGAACCTCTGTCTTTATGAAAGAACCCTTGAAGAACCATCTTTTTTAAGAGAGTACACGACTCTCACTCTTTAAGTCCTTGAACATCTGAACACGTGTAAATTCAGGACGTATTTGGAAATATTTCTAACCATCAACAGTAAAACTGTAGAATTAGCAGCAAAAACCAAAATAATCAATGTGAATTTAAAACAGATGTGAATATTATTATGTATGTAACTTTACAGCTACAGAAACTGAGACTGTTATTACTATTTTGCATTTACAAATACTTTAAAAAAGTCCATCAAATGGTACTTAATGGGGAACTCCACCAAGTTTTTAAAAGTGTTACATAGTCCAGCAGTTAAGATGTGAACAGAGCGGTTCAGAGTGGTTTGGTGTGAAACGCTCTGTTCTAGATAAACCTACCGAGTCAGAACTGTTCACAGTGGTGGTGATAGGAACCAGACGTCCACCTCTAAAGGCTCCCTCACAGAAAGTTACTACATGAAATGGTTATGAATTCACTGCCTGATGACTGAGACACTGTTTTATGATAGTTTAGAGAACTTAAACTCCATTCATGGTGGAGGGATACATGCAGGGCGCTGTGAGGCAAAATAGTCCCCAAAGAAAACTTATTATTTCAGGTTTTCCACTATTTTCCATCATCAACATTCATATAAGCTCAGAAGACTCGTGTAGGTTCAATGGTGGTTCTGGATAGTAAATAAAATGTCTATATTTGTGTTGTAGTCATGGCGACCCCTGGTTCCTATCACCACCACTGTAAAGACATCTGAACCATTTCACACCAAACCACTCGGAACCTCTCTGTTTAAAGGGAACTCCCCTTTAAAAACATGTACCTGTAAGTGGAGCTGGTTAATGCCCACATCTCCAGCTCGTGTTGATACGGGGCTGTGTGTGTTTAAGCATGTTCTTCTTGCTGTAGGTGTTTTATGAGGCTGAACTGAGTCAAACTCATTACTGACTCACGACGTCTGTGCAGGTTTCTGCAGATCTGAACTGATTTTCTTTCCTCGCCGAGTTTTCAGAGCAGGTATGTAACAGCACTGGCATCTGTGACTGATCTGAACAGCACTGAGCACTGAGCTAACTCCAGTAATCCGACGGCTCAGCTGACCTCCACTGTGTCGGAGATTCACAGCAGAAAAAGGCATTTTCACTGTCAGATTAAAACCTTATATAATGCAATGCAAATAATTCACATACACTGACACACTGCACTGACCGCCTGGGTCTGTTAGAGAGAGTTTAAAGCTCTGCTGCTGGTTTTTAAAGCTCTAAATGACCTTAAAGCTCCTGACCGTCTGTTTATGATCTCAGATCTGCAGATTCTGACCTTCTGAACTCCTTCAGTAAAACACAGAAAACATGGAGAGACTTTTTCAGTTATTCTGCTTCTAAACTGTGGAGCTCAGTTCAGCTTTTATTAGACAGTCGAGCTCAGAGCTCACTTTTAATAAACACCTGAAAACGCAGCTCTTTAACTCAGAGCTTCAGTAAAACTCTACGACTCTTTGGTCTTTATCTTTAATCTGATCATATGATTTTAAATTAATACTCATAATTTCTTGTATTACTAAAGCACAGTGAGCTGCCACAGGTATGAAAAGTGCTCAATAAATAAATATTATGCTATTATAATTACTATTATAACTCTAAAACACCAACTACTTAGACCAAAGTCTCGTCA